CTTACGCTCCAGAAAAACTCCGGCACTCCAACACTCAGCACTTTTCGACATTCACCTAGTTACGCATACGCCCTGATGACATTAGTGCAGCATTGCAGACAATTTTCGTTGGCTAAATGGGAAAGCCAGCGACCAGCGGCCAGCAGAGGCCCGGTAACCGACATTTGCCAAAAAGGCGCACGCAAACATACACTGGAAAAAAACACTGTGAAGGAGAAATTATATTGCTGTTGAAGACGAAAAGACACAGTTCCTAAGACATTAGTTTTTTAATACTTTACTTAATTGGCTTACAAAAAATTACCGAAATTGTCTAAAATAAAAAATTTTTTTAAGGTTTTTTTTTTTTCAAAAAGTCTGATTTAATAGAAACATATTTTAAAGATTTTAAAACGCTTTAAGATGTCTAAAAGTAATCAATATTCTTATTTTAGATTTACTCAAAAATTTGACTAAAGTTTAAATTAGTAAATATTTTATTCTTTTTATTCTTTTAAAAAGATTGAGCCTAATAGTTTAGTTTTAGATTTACCGATGGATTTTATTAAAGTTAAAAACAGTAAATACTTGTTTTTTGAGTTTTTAAAAAGATTGAATTTAATTATTTAGTAGAAAATAATTGCGAGGATAAAAACTAAGTTTGGAAAAAAGCAACGACATTTTTCTGAGTGCACAAACTCAGCATCACACATTTGGCCATAGACGTGTGTGCGTGCGACGCAGTTTCACGTTGATTACGAGCACTTTATGGCTCCGTGCTACGTGTGGGCGTTGCTGTTGGATTGCTGGATTGCCGGATCTGGCCGAGTAGGACTGCCATAGACATGATGTCTATGCGTTCATTGTTGCAATTTTTACTTTATTATCAACGTCTGTAATCACTACAACAACACTACAAGGGCAGCAGCAGCCAACCAGCAGCCGAGGGGTTGATGGCTAGCAAACTTGTTTCGGCGTCTGTTATTGCGGCCAAAAACATTTCGAGTGGCGGAAATTTGATAAATGCCTGGCCTGACCCAATGGGCGTGGCATTCGCCAAGGGTTTATCTAGTGTACTTGTAGGTTATTTATGATTATTCCGCATATTTTTATGGCTTGCAAATGAGGAATGAGTGTGCGACACAGGGGCGTAGTTCGCTGGGGTTTCTGGGGGATGAATAACTGGATAATTCAGCTAATTTCTAGAGATATTACCAAAGAAATGTATATCAGGAAAGGCTAACTTTCAGTCAATTTCTTATCATTTCCTTGTTATGAGAATCATTGTATGTATGTCAATGGAAGCTTTTTGGTTACATTTCAATAACAGCAAAAGCTTTCGGCTTACAGTTACACTAAAGTCACGTAAATGTAAAAACCTTGACATTTATAACTCAACTAAAAGCTTTTAGGACATAAGCTTTAGAATGTTTTCCATCCCTTACAAATTTTACACGAGGATGTAAAGCAAAAGCTTCCAAGGATATGTCACAAGTAGAGCAACCAAAGCGTATACTTAATATTCAAAATCAAATTTAACTAAAATTTTATTTAAAGTATTTAAACAAATATAGAACGCGATTGTTATTGAGATACACTTCAAATGCAATTTAAATTTCCCCAGTTCCTTGAGCCTATATTAAATGTAAATAAACCCCACAAAACTCTAGAAAGCATTGAAAAACAAACATTACAAATTGAACCCCTTAGTCAGAAGGTCTTTAAAAGCGAGTCGGGGATTTGTCAGCTTGTAAAAAAAAACAGTAAAAGGATTGCCCCTAGGCGTTAACCGAATGGGCGTGGCCTGCCAGTGGAAATTGATTAAAAAGACAAGAACCCGAATGCTTTGTGATGCTGTCCGTTTCCCTGTGGCGTGTAATCCCAACCCAACAACAAGCAAACGGCGTTTCAAGGAATCGATAATCGAAGCGATTGGATTATCAAAACCGTTTTTGTCCCTTTTGTCAATGGTCACTATAAAGACTTACTTATTCGTTTTTAACAACTACTTCATGCCCTTTGATGCCTTTTCAAATCTCATTTCAGGGCACAACATGGCCTCAGCACAGATACGACATTTCTATAACACACCAACAACAATTTCTTCAACGACAACAACAACAACACGACAACCTTTACAACAACAGCAACAGCAGCACACGAACAACTGCAACAACAGCAAACGGAAGCAATTTCAAAGCGATACGTTTCTGTGCCACACACAAACACAAAGCGAATCGGAGGCAACAGCAACAGCAGCAACATTATGCCAGTCAACGCTTGCGGCAGCAGCAACATCATCAGCAACAGGAGCAACAGCAGCAGCAACGGGAGCAACAGCAACAGATGATGTACCAGCCAGCGAATGTCGTCAGTCCTGGACAACAGATGAGATCTCTGCCAGCAAGAGAAACAACCAGCACAGGATGCGATATCCTTTGGTCGGCAGCGGTGCAACCTGCGATATTGCTGCTGCTCCTGCTGCCGAGCTGCAACAGCAATGTCTGGCCGATCCTGCTGCTACTTTGGCCGCTTCTACAGGGACTTCGGAGCAGGATCGCCTCCGCCTCCTATCACGCCTATCTTCCAAAGTCAGCCAGTCAGACTCTACGAAACAACAGCAACAACAACAACGAAAGCTCTTTCAACACGGCGCTTCAACTTCGACGACTCCGGCAGTCGGCATCCTTACGGATATGCAAAAGTTTGCACGCTCTTTATTTCCGCTGGTTATCATCTTTAATCTGCTGCCTTTGTTCTATGCAGGTAAGTGGCGCCACTCAATCGAATAATATTAATTAAATAGTAAGTGATTTACTGTTAACGGCTGACGAGGTCAATTGTTGGACTTCGTGTATTGTTTCAGTTTTTCAAGTGACAAATACGATTATTTCACAGAATTCAAAAAGGTCATTTGAATGCAATTACAGTATTATTGGGCCCTTTACAGTTAACAATTTTTATAAATATTAAATAAAAAGTGATATAAATTTAACATAATGGATTCGAAAAACAATTCATTAGTAAACTATTTTTAAAAGTTATATGATAAATACTGGTACAGAAAAATTATATTTTTAAACTTTAAATTTGTCTAATAAAGTTACAATATAACCGCAACAAAATTGTTATGGTGCAGCATGAACCTTAACTTTTGCGAAAGTTTTTCCCTCTCAATTTCCATGCTGAACTATTTTAAAACAAAACAATTTTCCTTGCTCCTAATTACCAAGTCTCGAGTGTCCACTAGCCCACTTTCAACCAGAGAGAGTTTAAAAGACCCCACCGAGGGCCCACTGTAGTCGTTTGGGTTGGTAAATAAATAATTGAAACTGTCGAAGAACATTTGCAAATCTGGCCAAACAACAACTGAGCTCATTATTTATGTACGCAGCCAAATATGTATTGACTGCCAAAGGCAATGGAAAAAATTTAATGACCGGCAAAAGTGAGCAGCATTCCCGGCAGGCAGGAAGGAAGCAATCCGCCACCCACTCCCAGCGAGCTTTTTCCTTTTTTTCCAAACTCTTTGTGTGACAGTTTTATATTTTTTAGCATTTGGGCTGCCTTTGCTCATTTTTCAGAGCACGCACAAAGGCAAAATTATAAGAGAGTTGGGGTCAAGCGAGGTTGAGGCCTAGAAAACAATGCGCTGGGCGGTCTTAATTGCTTCTCGGGAGCAAAAACAATAACAGACCCTTTTCTTTAAGGGGGCAAAAACTCTGACTCTGCCGCAAACTTATTAATTAAACGCGCTCATAATTATTTAAGACAAGCTGCCGCCGAAGCAAATTCAATTTGTGATCATTGCCCGATAAGCAGCGAGGGAGCTGCAGTAATCAGGAGGGGGAAAACCTAATGTGGCAGAAGCGGAGGCAAACAAAGGCGGCGCCATTTCAAAAGAAATCAATGACAATTCGTTAAAGGTCCCCCAGCAGTTAGGAGAACCACCCAGCCCCCTCCAATTTTCCACCCCATCCCCAGGACACTTGCCATCATCATCATCATCGACATTCGAGCAGCGATTAAAGACAATTGAAGCCGCAGATGCAGGCACTAGAAGTCTGCTTTCTTATCAGTTTGGAGTGGTTCCTCTCTCTCTCTCTGGATTTTCCTTCGCATTTCGGAAAAGCTCGCGCCTGCGCTGCCAGGACTTGCATGTTATCATTTTGCCAGAGAGTTATTCTTATCAGTTGGCCAGGCGATTGTTTGCTGGGTTATCCCTAGCCTTTGTTTGGCCCAAATAAATCGCTGACTTGGCTTGCCGGACGACTGGACCTCCAATAATGGGTGGGAAAGTCAAAGACGCCTGTGCCCCCGGGCACACACAGGTCAATGTATCTGTGATTCGACTCCCATTTATCTTGGACGACGTCGTTTTTGGCCCGGCCTAATGAGATTTTCGCCAAATTAAATGAAATCGAAAATGAAGCGCGCCAAGTTCGCTGGCAATTTAAATTGAAGAAGACGCAGTCGGCAATTATCCCACACACAAAGAGGCCAAAACGGGCGGGAGCATAATGAGCGGAAGCCGAAGTCAAACAAGATTCTCACCTGCCAGCTTTGGCTGCCCCGCTGCTCCTCCTCCTGCCACCTGGAATTCTGAAGGAAAAACTTGCACCTGAAATCCGAAATCTGCCACCTGCCAGCTGTCTCGAGTGGCGGCTTTGGATGGCCGATTAAAGCGCTCGTCGGCCACTCGAACAAACAGAATCGACGGCCCATTGAGTCGAAACGAAATGAAATGAAATCCCGGGGCAAAGAAACTCCAAGGAGCCACTTGAAGAGGCATCCTGGAGGAAAAAGAAGTGCACAAAAACGAAATCATAAATTCAATTTGATTTATTTCAGTCTGTGTAGTTTTTGGCGGAGGGCTGGCAACCGCCTCGAGATTCAAATGGTGGAGAGCTTTCACTTGATGTCATCGCTTTCGCTCTCTCTCTCGCTTTTCCCACTTTTCCGAGTTTTCCGCCTTAAATGCCGTGGCAGCAGCCGAATGTGTTCAGTCGATTTCTGTCGGCCGTGCGGCAAACACGCAGCTCGCTTTTCAGCCAACTCAACCAGCTCCAGAATCAGCTTGCCACCAGCTTTTAAACGGCATCGCATCAGAAAACAGTTTTCCCAGCAACGCGCGCACTTTTCCTTTTCCCGCTTCGGACCTTCGGACTTCGAATATTTTTCGGTCCCGTGTGTTTTTACCGCCCCATCGCTTCGGCCTCTCTTACTTTGCATATTTATATTCGCTTAACCATTCCGTTTCGGTGTCAAAAAGATAAATCCAATACCGGCGATAAGAACAAGAAGCTGCCTGCCAAACGGAGAGCTTAACGCGGAATTGTACAGCACAAAAGTGAATTACAAATCAATCGCGAAAGAACTCGGCTGCCAGACGTAAATATTCAAATGGAACTTGATTTACATACTCTTTTCAAATTGCCTTGGCTGTGGTGCACAATTGAGATATTAGGGCTTTTAAATAATTTTAGTGTGGTTGGGTTTTCACAGTGATCGAGGAAAATAAGCAGATTGTTTCAAGAATCATTTGCCAGAATTAAAATGGCATATTTAAGAATGAACAAAATCTCTTTTTAATCGAAAAATCTCCATAAATCCTTGGAAAGCAAAGGATACCTATCCATTGTATTTTAGAGAAATCTATATAGTGGCTTTTGTAAAAGGAAAAATCTCATGAGCAAACATGTTCTTTAAATTATTTTTTATATTCCCCTTTTTACAATATTGCCTTGATTACAATCTTGTTTTTCTATTCAATTTCATTAAGTTATGGCATCTACACCTCTCACTTTTTATGAATGTGAATAAGATTTCTTGAAATCGACAATAACTGTATATTTGTCATTAAAATATTGTCAATTCGAAGAAATGGATATTATTTGCATTGAGTGAGTGTGCCTTAGATGAATTCCCCTTCGAGGGAACTCCTTATTCAAAGGCAGCCTTACAAATGCGTTATTAGTTCACAGGCACAATGGCTACGCATACGAGTATATTCCTAATCGGTAACCCTGAGTGCTTTCCTTGGAACGTCCTTACGCACAGGAGAGCATTCCGGGCAACGAAAGGTTACAAAACGAATTGGAGGCAGGCAATTGTTGAGGGATTTACAACATGGCCCTCGTATTGTTTGCAATGCAGCAATAAAATCCCACACACAGAGGATAAATGTGGAAAGGTTAGAAGAATAGAGGAGATGGCGATAGAAATGTGTCCACGGCAGGTATGACATCTTGTCCGGGATCTCTTCACCTGTTCGCCAGATGCTTAATTGGAGTCAATGTCTGGACGAACTTTCCAATTTCCGCCCGTGCAACGCCTGCCATTGACAACTGACAACTTTGATTTGGCACGGAGCTAAACCCATTGATCATCTCATAATTTGGTAGCATTTTAAATCGATTAAATTTAAAAAAGGTTATTACCAACGATTGTTCTTATTAAATTACTCATACAAATGGATTATTTAGAGTGAAAGGCACTAAAATATTTTTTTACATTTTATGGCTTTAAAAAAAAAAATGGAATATTTTTAATTTTTAATAAACAGTTGCATATTCTGTTTCACGTTTCATTATAAACTTTTTAATAATGCCAAATAGTTATTCAAACCACTTGATATATAGCTGTAAATTATTTTTAATGTGGGTACTTTCTTTTTAAAATTTGTAGTTCTGTTCACGTATCACTATAACTTATATTAAGGCATGTACACTTTCTATAAATGCTAAATAATTATTCAAAGTGAATTCCACTTTTGTAGAAAGGCTGTAAAAAGTGAAATGTATTCAAGGATTTTTTTAAAGACGACCAAAAATTGTTGAACATTTTTGAAACTTGGGAAGAACTTCGGCCAAGTCTCCTTTGCCATTCTCAAGAAGATTAAGTGCCGTTCCAAAAAAAAAAAGGAAGGAAAATTCAGCTTGCAATTTGCATGCAGTTCGGCAATTGCTGCGAAATTGAAACGTGCCAAATGTGCAAACAGAGGGCCGCAATCGTTTTTCACTCTGTTTGAGTAGCCAACCAGGTGATAAGCAAACATAACCCAACGGGCAGGGCAGCTCATGGGGAAAGTCAGCGGAAGGACTCGCAAAACTCAACCCTTTCTGCCAGCTGAGACACTGCCCACTAAATCAAGCCACTGCCGCCAGGTAATAGAGAGATAAAATGTGCTACGTGTGGAAAATGTTGGGAAAAAAAACGAGAGAAATAAAGAGTTCCCAGTTACTTTGCAAATAATGTTGCCAGCCAGCCACTCGAGTGTTTAGGACCCTCACGCATAAATTATTTATTCATTTGCCGTCGCCGGGTTTTTATATACATCGTTAAAATTTCTGTTCCCTGTTGGGATCTCAAAGTGAATTTCGGGTGAAGAGTCGGCACCTTTGACCCGCCCCTTGGTTCGAAAATGGGGTTTTTACTTTGGCTATTTTATAATGAGCTGCACTGGATTCGCTTCCAGGCTGCTAAACTTGGTTGAGTTGCTCACACGGTTTCGGTTTCCCTTTGCTCCTTTGTTCGGATTTTTTGCTTTGCCAGCGATTTTCCCGCCGGCTGATTTTTCCCGAGGAAAACTACGTGAAACGGTGATGGGTGAAGGGCGTGGTCGGTTTGCATTGAAAGTGTTTATTTATTTCTGTTTGTGTTAGCTTTTGAAATAAAAAAAACATTTTTCTTTGCTTTCTCCTATGTTCCGTTTCCGGTTTTTACTATTTTCCAACAAAAACGTATAATAATAATATCCCATAGCTGCGGGCCAACGTTGCGTATGAGCCATGTATTTTTTTTAAATCATTTTTTATTTAAGCCCCCAACTCGAAACTAATTAGCGCCCTGTGCCGAGTGCTTGTTGTTTTGAAGGCTTCCTGCAGCAGCAGCTTTTCGCTTTTTGCGTGTCCACGTCATGTGATATGAGCTGGGAAAATATTGTTAGAAAAATGCTGCAACTTTTTCATTACATCAACTTGACGGCTGGGCTAAAAACTTTTTAGCAACCAGCAGGAGCAGTCGGGAAAAGCGTGGGAAAAGGGGGAAAACGAAACGAGCCAGCTGTGGATGCTGTTTCTTTAATTTGTATTTAGTTAGCGGACGATGCTAATGAGTTTGCTGATTAAAAAGGGACCGTCTTTTGATGTCCCACCTCGGGAATTAAATTTGCACAAGGTTCACGAGCTTTAAGACTCCATTAACTGGCTAAAAAAGGGGGCCATAATTTATGCAGCATGCGATCAAACAATATTCGCAAACCTTTTAGCTGGCCCCTCGAATAGAAACTAATAAAAACTGGCTGAGCCAATCAATTACGAGTAGTTCACAAACTTGAAGTCATTCTCACTTAGCTGCAGCCGCCCAGTCAGTTGGTCAGTCCATCAATCTTCTAATCAATCTGGATGGAGCAAATAGCCAGCCATCCAAAGTTTCCCCTTGCATTATGAATTTATGGGCCTTGGGGAAGCCAAGCGAAAACTATGCTACGATTTCGATTTCAATAAAAATCATTAACCGAGCACTCAAAGAGCGATTCGATTGAGTTTCTGTGTGGGCTGGCAGAACTTTCCGATACATTAAATATGAATGAAATGCCACGGTAATTAAGCTAAACACAGCAAGATAAACAAACCGCAAATGGTCATAAAATGCGATGAGGATGATGATGATGGCGATGAGGTGGCGCCATCCAAATGAACTTCTTTGGCCCGACACATTTCCAATCGAATTATAAATAAACAGAGGCTGCGAGAGCCAAATAAACCCCAACAGGAAGCCAATTCAAATGGCCCGAGTCAGCGGTATTCGCGAATTCCTAATTTCTAATGGCATTGGCAAAACAGAACTCAACGCCAATGGGCCTTATGGCTGATTACCCAATTTGAATTTTCAATATTTCCGGGAATCTTCATTTCATACTGGTAAACGCGAAATATTTCGTTTGCTTACAAATTAGCATTGTTTCCGCATCAGAATATCTATGGGAAATGAATTCACTTAGCCAGAAAGATGAGGCTTTAAGGCGGGAATTTCATTAATCTCTGTCGCACGTTCCTTGGTATATTAAAATATCTCCTTTGTGATACGTGAATATATAAAAAACAGGACAAACGGGAGGCGAGCATCTTTGTGTAAGCTTTAAAAATCTCCCCCATAAAAGCCAACGTGAAACATGCAACAAGCTGGGTAAGGAAGCGGGCCAAAAGAAGGCCACCCACCAGCTACTGTGTCGAGGTTACACCCACACTCTCACTAGCACACACACACACTCACTCGCCTGCATGCGAGTATAAATCCACCATTCATGGGGGATACAATGAGGCCCAGACGCTTGTCCAAGGAACTAAGACAAAGGATACACAGAAATCAAGTTTAAGTGCAGTTGAAGGCGGAAACGTGAGCCTCACACGGACACCGGGAAAAACTCTAAGATCGTATTTCCAAGAAAAAGATGCAGAAAACAAATGCTTCTTTTATTATATTTTCCATTTAGAGCATCAAAGAGATGCAGATTTCAGATAATATATGCCTTTTTATTTGCTCTTCAAAAAATAAATTAATTGTGAGTGGGATACGTTATAGTTTATCATAAAAGTAATGTTAAATTAATTTAAAATATCAATATAAGTTATAAAGTTTGTTATAGTTTTAACCTCCTATGAAAAAAAATTTTTAAACATACTCCTTAATTTATTTACATTAAAAGTCAATTACTTTAAGAAAGCATCTCGCTATTAATACCAATTTAAAGTACATAGCTCATAATCATTAAACTTCAAAACTAAAGGTGATCTTGTCTAAATAAACATAATTTGTTAGACAATAAAAATAGTTTTATTAATTAAGAAAAAATTGTCTAAAACCACATTGCATTGTTTTTCCCGAATGCAATTACTTTGATTAATAGTAGGTTTCGTGGTCAATTATTTTCATCTGTATCGAAATGTTTGGAGCTGTGCTCTTATAAATCAGAACCGCTCGCTGGTGGTTGCCAAGTGACGCCTAAACAAGTGCAATTATTTTAATGCACTTTTGACTTTTGACATCGCAAGACAGCGCAACAACACGGGCGACAGCCTTAAAGCACTGCTCGAGCATTTATGCGGCTATTGTCCCGACAACACACACACAAAAAGCCCACAAAACACACGGCATTCGGCACTAGGCACTCGGCACTCGGCGGAGAGGACTCCTTGAGTCGGTCGCTTCTGCCAAGGTCGCGCCGTGCAGTTGAACTTGACAAAGGATAAAGGATTCGCTCGGCATTCGCCTGGCGGCTTTAATTCTGCATGCAATTTCATAAACGTTTTTTTCTTATCCCCCTCGACCCGTGCAATTTTCCATAATTTTGTTCTTCTGTATTTTTTTCTGGTTTTTTGCATAGCCTGGGCCTAACGTTAACCCTTCAACGATTCGCTGGCGAAACAAATTGAATTTATGTGCCAGCGCACACGAGAGCACGCAGAAATGTTGCCAACGTCACTGGCAGTCGACGATGGGCGATGCTTACGCACTCCAGGGGGCGGCTCCACCCCCTCCACCCCTTTCTTTCCATATTTTCCCACCCACGTCATGGCCCATTTGTTCTATGACCTCTCACCCTCCGCTCACACAGTCCTTTCCTTTCCCATCTTTTGCCAGCATAAACAAATTTTGCAAATGTGCGCATAAAACTTACGAAATTGCAAAAATTTATTTTATTTCACAACATCTCAACAGTGTGTGTGTGTGACAAGCGCCTTTCCTCGGCGTTTCCTTTGTTTCGTTTGGCTGATATGAGGGGCTGGTATCCTGTCATCTTGGCCTCCGCCGTTTATCTGTGTTTGTGGCTCGTCGCCTTCTGGCGCTAATTTAATTAAGACTCATAGACAAAGAGAAGCCCGACGGACGGACCAAACAATATGTGTCAGTGCAATGTGTTGTAAATCTTTTCAAGGGACTTCGGACAGCCCACGAATATTCAGGAATATATATAGCAAAAAACGCCGACCATAAACAAATGTATAATATATATCATTTTGGCATTTTATCGTCGGCTATAAAACACAAGTACTCAGCCACGTTGCGGATACGACTCGTTGGCCGGGCTGCATTTCATTTAATTTTACGCCTGCCGCTTGGCAAACATAATTTGATTGATGCGCCCGCGGCTTACATGTGTAAGCTAAAAATAAACTGATAAATTGACTTATTACAACATAATTCGCCTGTTGGCAAAATGGTATGGGTAATTTTAAGTTTTTTGGCAACCGCCTTTTTTGTGGGCCAAATTACATGTGTGTGTGCATAAAAAAAGGCAGACAGGAAAGCATAATTTATGCAGGTAAAATGGGTTTGAGGGGGCGGAGCAGCGAAAGACGGGCATTTCATTAATATTAATTGACCAATTCAAAGGGACAGCAGCAAAGAGCAATTGAGTCACGAAAACGAGGCGTAATAAAGGCCAAAAAGCCAGTTAGTTCCAGGTTTACTTAGGGCTTTTTTAAACGCACTCCCAGCGCAGACAAATGGGCCCAAATAAATAAGAATAAATATTTAAATGGCCAAGCCTTTTGTAAAAGAATTCGCTCAGCGGGGAAGCCACTAAGTGCGGCGAAATCAAATGGAAAAATGCGAAGTGCCACCGACATTGACAGGACCTGCTTGTGATGGCCAAGAAGGGCAAATTATTTGCGTGAGCGGCTTAATTAAAAGGCTGTTTGGGCAGCAAGTGGACTCCCTAGTTTAAGCCTCCACCTCCCGTCATCCTTTTAAGTCCTCCTCCGACTTTGTTGTTGTCCTTTTGGCCCCTTCGTTGTGTTCGCTGTGAATTGAATTCGTGTTGCCATTGATAACGACTGACAGCAGCTGTGGCCATTTGGCCGAGAACTGGGTCTGCATTAGTTTTTATATTCCATTCCGTTCACCTTCCATTTGGCACTGCAAAAACTTATCAAAAGTTCCTAGCGGTTGTTGTGCAGCCCGTCGGTTCCTGTTTTGTTTCCAGCCATTTTCACTTTCGCAAAAAAGAAGGCAGCGAAAAAGTGAACATTTATTTGATGCTTTTATACTCTTTTAACGACACTCGATATTTCGGTTTGCTTGAAGGCTTTTTGAAAGTAAAATAAGTGTTAAATGTATTTTATGACTAGCTTATCAAACAAGATTTACTATAAAAAGTACAATAATTAGAAAATTTAATTTCTTGGATTTAATATAATTTTTTTGACTTTTTAATCCATAATAAAGCTATTATTAACATAGCAAATTCACTTTACGTTTTTCCTTTTTCTCGTCCGCCTGTTAAATTTAAAGGAACCTTAAAACTCTGATTTCCCATACGATTTCGAGGTTTATACTCTATTTTAAATTGAACAAATGGACGATAAAACCGCCCTGAGAGTATTAAAATTCTTCTATCGCACACAAAACCTTTACACAATCAATTCGATATTATTTATATGTTTTATTTTCACTTTTCAATGAATCGAATGGACGGCCTGTCAAGTTTTGTTTCGATGTAATTGAATTTTCGCCCCCGTTGTGGAGTGGCAGTGGCGCACAGCGGCGATAATTAAGTATACGTGTCGTGTGTCCATAGCTGCCATGTCAGGACTCATAATGCACTATATAAGGCAATTATCGTCAGGACGACGGGAGATGAGCAGCACAGCTCAGCAGCTATTAGACAGGATAATAGACACTTGAAATTGCATTCAGCTGGCTGGAAGTGCAGCAAGGACCCCCACTCTCCTGTTCGGCCGGACAGCATTAATCATGTGTCAGTAGCAGACAAAGGACTCGCCCTTATGGGTTGTGATTTTTGGGGCAAAAATTCCCACTCGATGGACGGGGGACACTCTTGATGAAGTGCGTGGGTGGTGTAATGGGAGGAAAATGGGAAAGGGGACATGGGCGATATCACACATACGCACTGGAGGCGACAAGTTTTGGGCTGTCCACAGGCTGTCGGGCATTTCATGCACAGTCGAGCGGCTGATGGGCAGCCCTCGCAATTTATGGCAGGCAATTTGTTTGTGTGGGTGGTTCGCAGTGGGTGATAGGTGGTTACGGCATTTGTCAATGCCAGTCGAGGGAGTCGGGGGATTTATGACAAGCGATGGCCCAGTGGATCGAGCGATAATCTCAACTGTGCACACACAGCCAGGCAATCTCAATCGCAGTCAGTGTCAATATGCAAATTCCCACTTCACTTTCTCTCCCAAAAAAAAACCATTCAGGCAACAAAAACCCATCGATTCCATTCCAAAAGTGAGCCGCTAAGGGAGCAAACAGTCCCCGCATGAGTAACAGCGCCATGGTGGCCGTGGCCATCTGCTGCATCCTCGTCCTGCTGGCCGTCTTCATTGTGATCATCATAGTCGTTGGCCAGACGATTGAGGAGCCCAAATGAGACATGCTCCAGCTGGGACCAGGCAACTTCCCAGATGGATAACAGAGGCCCCCAAATTGTTAGTTTGCTGGGGCCGCCAGCAAAAAATCGTTGCCACCTCATCAGCATCTGCAGCATCCGCAAAATCATCAAAATCAAAATCAGCATCATTTCCAACCGGCAGAAAATTAGCAGAGGAAACCGAAGAGGCAGGAGGAGAATCAGGAGTGGAGGAAATGCGTCCCATCGTCAGTATCCATTGGCTGTGATGTGAAATTTTTAGAATTTGTGAAGCAAAAATCAATCGAGAAATCAAGAAAACAAGAAAACACCCAACACAAAAGGAGCTACTCTACATTTTTGAACATTCCGCATCCCGAGGAAACACACACATCTTCATGTAGCATTTCTGTGTGTTAAGTGTTGTTAATATAAATGTATATATTATATAGACACACAATCTATGAATACAAACCAAATATATAGATATCTAGACAGACTTACGTACTTATATATGGATATATATGATATATGTGTAACCCAACCGTCGTAACGTTGCGTTCTTTTTTATAAAAGTGTTGTTAACAAACCGATTTTTATTGATGTTTTATTGATGTTGAATACAACGTATATACACATGCATACACACACGAAAGTGGAATAAGTTTACATTAAAAGTCCAGCGATGTCAAAATTGATGAGCGATGAAAAACCCAGAAAAAAGAAGGGAAGCAAAGGAAGGATCAGGACAATAGGGATTGAAACTGGAGAGCTCAATTGTTTATTATACCGTAAGATCATATCAAGTCGGAATGATGCCAGCAATTGCACTTGTTAATTGCACAGTAAAGGAGGCTCAAGGCCCAAATGGGATTTAGCAGGAACTGGAGCATAGATATACCTAATAACATACGGGAGATATGAATTATATAGCGGAGATATGCATTTTATATATCAAACAAAACAACTTTTGGATAAGTTTTACGTGTACGTGTACCTAGATGTAGCCAACATAAGCTGTTATCAACTATGGAACTTACTTACTTGAAATCAAATGAAAAATTATACCTTAAAAACCAATAAACTGTAATTTAATTAAACCCCAACACCCACAACTACTCCAATTAAATCAATTCAACGCAAAACGTACGTGCGCTGTAAACGATAATAATAAAAAAAAAAGAACTTCCACTCAATTCAACTCAATTCAATTTTAATCAATGCAAATGCCAGAGTCTGCAAACACAATATTCAACAAATGATCAACGCGTGGCGCATAAATTAATACATTAATTAAATATAAACATCAACAACAATGGACAGTGTGGGAAAAGAGAGAAAGGTAAGCTGAATAAAAACATATTAATATAATAAATAATGGCTTTTCGTGCAGTTTTCCAACGCCAAAAAAGGTCTCAATAGATTTTATTTAAATGCCCAAGGACCGCTTAAGGTTTAAGGACACCTAAAGGGTGGGCAATAAAGTTTCATTGCCACAGAGTCCTGTCAATTTGATTAAAATTGATATGCTCAGTTACTTGGGCAACTGCAATCCAGGATCTGGAATACAGAATACAGCATTCAGAGTTGTCCGGAAGTCATTTATAGTTTGGAGTGACGATGGATCCGTTCCTAGGGGATTGGGACTTGGGAAAATAAGTCGTAGAAAACCCCAGGATGCTGAACAAAAAGTCAACTTGATGAATATTTCCACCTCAGTCCGCATCAAGTAATCATAAAGTGATGGAAATTCAATTTACACAGCATTAAATATGGCAAAAAGTGGGCCAACTTGCGTTTGGTGGTGGCAATTTATGTGTGTTTTCATGTTTTGCGTTTGTGTGGTTTATTATTATGCAGATTAGGCCAAGTTCCACCTTTACCTTTTGGCTCTGTCGACTTTACCCACTTGATTCTCGTGTATCTGGGTTCTGGGTGTGCATAAAAAGCCGCCCCGAAGCAGCTTGAACATGCCTCCGCCCCCTCCTTCATATGCAAATTACGTTTCATTTTGAATTTCTGCTACCTTTTTGCCAGGGAAAGGCCACAACACACACTCGCACACTTTATGGCCATTCAATGCCTTGGCCAAATTGAAGCTGACGGCAAATGTCACGTTTTATGACTGCGTTTGCATATCAACAGTTTCACATGTGTGTGTGTTTTTGAGGTGTATTTGAGGTGTGTGTGGAGGGCGTTTGAGCTGCATCCGCTTCTGGAAATGCTCAAAGTGCTCGAGAGTTCCATCTGGTTTCCCACTTAGTCAGCATTATGCAAATGGCCCGCTCCTTTCAATTTCAAATTGTTTGTTTATGAATTGCTATTGCTAACAACACAAATTAATTGTCCAATTCCATGGGCCTGGCATTAGTGGGCGGGATTCAGAGGGCGCGGAAGTGAATCTCAATCGAAATGTGAATCTGAATCCAAGTCCAAACTCAAATCCGAATGCGACAGTGCGCAAAAGCAATTATCCGAAGGAAATTGCTCAATTAGAAAGTCGAAATCGAAAGCCAAACTAAAACACACAAGAACGGGGAAACACACAGCCAACTAAACGACAACATATTTAAGTAGGATGTCTACACAGGGAATAAATGTATTTAAATAAATAAGAATATTTTTAAAATTGAATATAGTATTATATTTAAGTATCAAAAAATTAATTGAAAAAACTTAGAATTCTTCAACATAATTACTATATTTAATATGTTTTGATAGCTTAAGATTTAAAGGGAATAAATGTATTTTAATAAATATGAATATATTATTCTCTTTAAATATCAAAAAACGCATCAAAACTAAAAAAAGCAAGAAACTAAGAATATTTAAAAACCTTTATTAGCATATTTAATACATTTTGACAGATTAAAAAATGGAACAAAAACTAAGAAAAAGAAATAAATGTATTTATTCTCTTTAATCATAAAAAAACTATAAACGTAAATGGAAAAAAAAAAACAAGAGTATTAACTTAATTAGCATATTTAATTCATTTTGACAGTGAAAAATATGGAAATAGCTATATTAAAATGCCATTTTTATGTTATCTGCCCTTTTTCCCCTCTCGATGATTGCCCATAAGTAGAACTATCTTATTATTTTCGCTTACATTTGCATGATGAACGCCTTACAATGGCAGCCAGATAGCTCCAAGAATTGCAGTCGGCAGTCGGCAGTCAGCGAAGTGTAAAGCGCAGATAGAAGATGTCCAGCTAATGGTGGCAATATTAGAAAGAAGGACGAGTCCTGCCCAAGGACTAAGGACGAAATGGAGGGTGGGAAATAAACTGCTGCCTAATGATACGAAGTTTAATGCAGTTTTGTGAAATGTAGCAAAACCAATTGGCTGGCTAGGTTTTTTCTGGGAAGACGGAGGATTTTCGCACAAGTCATGGCCGAAAAGTGGACTAGCAAAGACGCGCTGAGTCAACTGTCAATTAATCAATTTAGCCAGCCTCAAGCTGGCTAGGCCATCAACTTAATGTGAGCACGTTAAGAACACACCAGAAACCGTTGCCAGGATGTAACAAATGTTAAGGTTTTTAAAACCAAATTACAGCCGTGGAAAATGATTCGACAACAAACAGAGATTTGGCACAACACACAATGGGCATATTTTTCATCTGTGGCATATTCCAGCTGTGTGCTACTTTTTGTAGCTCCTGTTCCTGATGTTTTTGTTTCCTCTTCCATTTTGGCCGTGTCGCTACGCATTTTAATGCCGCCAGCGAGTCGGTCCCAGATTTATGGCCATTTATTGAGCATAAGTGTTGGCAATTTATGAACCAGCCGCGCCCAGTTTCCCCCACTCTAAAATGGCATTTTAATAAGGCAGTGCTTCGGTGTGTGTCTTTGTGCTGAAATGAAGATTTATAAACCGCCCCGAGCAGTTTCAACTCCCGAAAGTCGGGTTCCGGCATCGCATTCGGGTTCGAGTTCAGCATACCCATAAATCTCCCACAGAATCTTGTTTAGTTTATTGAATTATCAACGGGGCGGATGTGTGGGTGGGTTTGACATTGTCTGACATAAAACTAAAGGAAATATCAAACACGTGCGCCAGTCACAGGGCACTTATGTAAATACATTCCCTGCGCCATTCCCCTCGACGTTTATATTTATAGTTTTATTTGTCTAAGGTTTGCTGGAGCGGCATTAAAATTTGCCCCGCTTTCGACTTATCTACATCTCGCGTATTTTGTTCATTTCCCACACACACAATGAGGACCTCCTATGGCACACGCATTTCCACTTAATTTTCCTGACTCATTTAAATAAATTTGTTTGGTTTCTGTGGCCTTAAGTATGCAGAACACGTTTTTTCCAGAAAATCTGTGGAAAATAATTTGCTTTAGCATACTTTTTGGGGACCAACAACACATTGACTTGCAATTATGAAAAATACTATAAAATGTATTTATTTCTTTCAAGTTAAAAGTAAAGCCCTGCCGCCAGAAGACCTAGGAAAAGTTATCCAAAAAATAAAATAATAAGGTCCAGTGCCGCAAAAACCCCACACAGACCACACAGAAAAAGAGAAGCCAATGAAGTGCTCTGCACTCGGAATGGCAAACCGACACGAAACTTGGCACACAGAAACAACAAATTAAAACTTTAAGCTTCGCAGGCGCCGCAAAGGAATAATTTCAATGTCTAAAATCTTAACATTGACAGCAGATGCTGCAGAAAAGGGGCACTAGATCAGGGTTACGGGCCACTTCAGAGGCAGAACACAGAACACCATCCTCATGCTGCTGCTGCAACCAATCGAAACCCCCGCCAGCGATGTGCACTTGGCATCAATCAATAATTGCCCATTGAAGGCAGCTGCTGGAAGAAGACTAGCTGGTTGGTTGGTTGGCTGGCTGCACCAAGCGAGGATGCCACGCCATGATTGATTAGCGGCATGCAACACGAGGTGCTTCAGCAGAAACCCGACTAGACAGCATAATATGGCGCTTATTGAATTGAGTCCTTTCGCCGTTCCTTTCTTTCTTTTCCGTGCCATGGCCACAGGACTGGCTGCTGGTGATATTGCATTGTATCTTTGGAATCGCCAGTGCCGGCAGGACACTCAAGGATGCTCGAGTGGCAGTCGGTGTTCTTATCCGTGTCCCCCAATCTCTTTGACTGCCGCTGGCACTTTCATTATGTCAATTTTCCCCTTCTTCTCGGGTCATTTAATTGCCACCCCTCATTAACCCCTGAAAGGATGTAGGATATATGTAGGCAGCACCTTTATACTTCAACATTTAATCGGGATTATGACAGGGAAAAATAATTTAATGGTCTTACAGATAAGAAGGAACTAGTTTCTAAACTGTAATAAATAAATTATGAGGAATTGATAATGAAATATTATTTTTTTATATTATTAATCCTTAATCCAAATAAGATTTTTCGAGTTCCAAGAAACACTTAATTCATATTGACTCTTTTCTATCTTATTTTCGTTGCAGGTACGTTCGCAAAAGTCAATCAAAAGCGTGAGTAGCTGCCACAGGCAATTTTATTATTTGCCACTTACCGATATAAAAGTTCTTGGTTCGACGTAGTCAAAAGTTCAAAGTTGAAGCGAGCCTCAATTGCAGTTATCGAGTTCGAGTTCTCAGGGGCCACCGCAAAGTGCATAAATAAATGCAAAAGAGTTTGGGGTCAAAAGAGATTTCATATCCACTATAAAGTTGACCAAAAGTTGGGAATAACTTTGACCACGAGAGTGTCTCGGAGGTTTCTGTGTGAGCCACTGGGGCGTATGCGTGATATTAATTATGAATTTAACCCACTCGCCAAAGTCATTAATAAACTCCAAGATAATCACTTGAATTTAATCACCCTACTAATTGGCAATAAATTAGACTCAATTTACCTAATAGCCAACACAAATATGCACTTAAGACCCTGCAACATAATATGCATAATTATGCCAGGCATCTAACCAGGCCCCCCGAAAACCAGAACCAAAACCAAAATCCACCACCGGGACTTAAGCGGCAGCTGTGTGTCTAGGATCCCCATCCTCCATAGCCTTAGAAACTCATCATCGTCCTGGCCATCGCCTCTCACCTGCCTTCGTCTTAATCAACGCGCTTTATCGCCATGATTTTATTTTTCGGCCTGGAATAAACTATTAGGAAAACTCATTTTCATGAAAATCCACTTTAATTGCTGTTACTGTTGTCGGTGTTGTTGCCACCGTTGTTGCTATTTCCCCATCTGGCTGTGGTTATAGCAGCCAGATATGATACACTGAGGAAATATGAGGCTTACTTTTACATGGTGTCTAAGATGGATGTTTAAATTACATTAAAATAAAATAAATTCCGTGAAATCGTAATTTCTTCTTAATTAAGAGGTTGTAAGTTGTAATGATATGGGTATAAAAGACTTGGCACGGATCTATTAGCTTTAGTTATCCACTTCTAAATATTTTCCACCATGAAGCTGATGATTTTGATTCTTGTGCTTGTCGCCTTTGTGGCCAACTCGTTGGCTTTGAAAAATGGTATTTTTATATTTATTTAACAGTTCCTAAATAATTTAACTAATTTTTGTAGAAATCTGTAGTCAACTTTGGGCTAAGGATGGTCGTTGTTATGCAAAAATGATCAGATGGTCTTTCTTCCCATCTTTAATAAATGCATTAAATTTAATTACGGAGGCTGTGGTGGAAACGAAAATAATTTCGGTTCAAAGAAAGCTTGTGAAGACAAGTGTGTAAAGAAGTGAAATGAAATAAAAAATGTTTCGTTTTATTTGTTCTGACAAAAGTATAAAGCAGCTAGAGTTTTTTAAGTATTACATTTTAAAAGGAAAGTGATTTTTTCTAGCTGTTGATCTTCTATATTAGTCAAAACTATATTTATCCCGATTTCAATATGTACATTAAAGTTGTTATTGTTGTCGGTTCTCAATTAGCTCTGTGAAATCTTAATTTCCTCACCATTTATACCGATATGGTAATGATATGGGAATAAATAGCTCAACTCGTGTTGTTTTAGCTCAGGTTTTTCTTGTCTAAACTAGCTAACACTTCTACATTTTTTTCACCATGAAGCTGATCATCTTGGTTGTGCTTGTTGCCTATGTGGTCAATTCATGGGCACTGAAAAATGGTACTTCATGTTAATTTGGTTATACATAATTATATAAATCTAATTATTATAGAAATCTGTGGTCAAGTTCCGTTTAAAAATGACGTTAATGGGCTAACCTGTCACGCTTATACGCACAGGTGGTCTTACGTTTCCGCCGAAAAGAAATGTGTTAGATTTATCTTTGCAGGCTGTGGTGAAAACGAAAATCATTTCCTATCACAGAAGATTTGTGAAGAGAAATGTTTGGAAAAGAAATGAATAAGAAAATCCTATTCAAATAAATCAAATCATTTTGTTTTATATTTACTCCGAGAAAGTCCAACTTCAGAATAAAATATTTTACTTGTAAGAAGAGATTTTATATTTCTTGTATCGTTTAACTTTATTATTTTTTTAAATACATGTCCGTAGGTTGAGCTTTTTCTCCTGTTAGCCAATTATATATCCCCCGATCGCATTAGACATTTCACAATAGTTTCACAGAATTAGTTTTTAATTATCGCTGTGAAATCTAAATGTCATCCTAATTTACGTGTTGTAAATTACTATGATATGGGCATAAAATACTCAGGCCGGGTTGTTTTAGCTAAGGTTTTTTTTTGCCTAAACCAGCAGTTCTAGATTTTTTCACTATGAAGCTGATGATCTTGGTTCTTATGCTCTTCGCCCATGTGGGCAATTCGTTGTCTCGGAAAAGTGATATTTTTCATTCATTTGATCGATATTAATTTTGTTTTGAATTTTGAATTTTTTTAGAAATCTGTTTTCAACCTCCTTCTAAAAATTATATTGATGGAAAACCCTGTCAAACTAAGAGGCCCAGTTGGTCCTACGTTCCCCGCAAAAAAAAATGTATTAAATTTATCTACGGAGGATGTGGTGCAAACGGCAACCGATTTGATTCAAAGACAAAATGTGACATGACTTGTGTTTGGACAAAATTAGTACTGTGGAAGGGCAGGTGACAAACAATAAAAATCAACAAAATAAATGTGTTAGATTTATCTTCGGAGGCTGTGGTGAAAACGAAATCATTTTGTTTCACAGAACTGAGTGAAATGAAGCTTGAAATCATATTGAAAATAAATCAAATAATATTGTTTTATATTTACTTATATTTACTTTTATATTTACATGTTCGTAGATGGATCTTCGACCTTCGACCTATAAGGCAATGATATTTTTCCGCAATTGCTTGACAAATTACATTATAATTTCTCAGAGTTGGTTTTCAATTAACACTGTGAAATCTCAATTTTATCATAATTAATAGGTTGTAAATTGTAATTATATAGGAATTAATTACTCAACACGCGTTGTTTTAGTTAGGTTTTTTTTTGCCCAAACTAGCAGTTCTAGATTTTTTCACCATGAAGCTAATGATCTTGGTTCTGGTGCTCTTCGCCTACCATCTTATCCATTTTTAAATAGAAAAATCGTTATTAAATTGCCTAAAAACCTTATGAAAATTAATTAAATAAAATAAATTATGTTGCCGTGGAATTTGTAGTATTTAAATCCTTTTATTAATAATGACCGTATAAGGCCTACCTGCCGTGTAGACAAAACTCCTCCGCCTTCCCGGTGTGAAATGTGTTGACGATTGGTGTTAATATTGGTTATATTATTGTGTTATGATTAAGGATATATTTGCGTTTTGTGTTGGTTTTAATTGGTTAATAATTTTATATTATTTGAATACCTGTTTTGAGTGTATTTTTTAAATTGGTATATTTTATTTTTGTACTTTATGTTAATATTTGATCCCTACTTTCACGCGTCCTTAAACTACTTCAAGACGTGTAATATATATGTATGTTGTGTCCGCTATTACCCCATGTTGGTGTTAAGTAGTATAAATAATTTTAAATTAAAATAAAGATATCTGCTTTTTATTAATGTTGATGTTTTTTAAATTTTAATGTGTTAATTTAATTTAATAAATAATATGCTTTAGGTATATACCCAAAAATAATAGAATAAATGTTAATTAAGAAAAACGTTTAAAATTTTTTTGCCTTTTTAAAAAAGAATTTTATGTGGGAAATTCGTTGGCTCGGAAAAGTGATATTTTAAATTCATTTTATTGTTCTTAATTTTATTCATTTAAATTTTTTAGAAATCTGTCATCAACCTCCTTTTAAAAATGATATTGATGGAAAAAGCTGTCGTGCTTATATGCCCAGTTGGTCTTACGTTTCCCACGAAAAAAGATGTGTTAAATTTATTTACGGAGGATGTGGTGGAAACGACAACCGATTTGATTCAAAGACCAAATGTGACACGAAATGTGTTTGGAAAAAATTAAGACAGGGGAAGGACAGGTGACAAACAATACTTTGCAATTAAAAAACCAAATAAAAAATTCCAAATAATGTTTTCCAAATGTAAGAAAGCCTGTGATTTCTTTCTTTGAAGAACAAATGATAAATTAAGACAATACCAAATGCTCATGAAAACTACTTGGCACAATGTTTTGACAAGCAGAAATAGGAAAATGTTAGAGTGACAAGGGAAAATAGCGAAGGAACCTTGTCAAAAATAAAAAGTGTCAAATCAGCAAAGCCTGATAAAACATTAAAGACTCCTGCCTGTCATTCGCAAAGCTTTCGGCAGTATTTTCTCTCAGTATGCTGTAGTATCAGAACGGCATGCCAGGCACCAATAAAACAACATAAGGCGCAGTCTGGTTTGGGCCTGGTATTTGGCGAGCGGTGTTACTTGTAAATTTAACGAAAATTGTCTGTAACATGAGCTCCTCCACGGAAGGTGTCAGAGGGGATTCCAGGTGGGGGTTGGAAATGGAGACGTAGAATGAGTCTGTGGTCGACTGGTTTTTGGGTGCGAAGAGAGGTGTTCGGGGGAGTGGTTAAGGGCACTGCGGGTGGCGGTGTAAGTGCCAACAGCAGTGGCAGCCATTAAATTTTCAAGAAGTGTGTACTCGAGCAGGAAACCCAGGCAGACAGCAGCAGCAGCAGGAGGCGGGATCAGGTGACACGAGGTGGGGTGGGGGTTTTAGCCCAGTAGACAGACAGAGCCACTAAAGATTGTATGTGCAGAAGGGCGACAAAAGTGTCGCAATGGAATCACCCAATAACGGAAGTCTGGATTTGAAAAGCATCTCGAACGTATGACTCTAGTTACTGCATAGTTTTCCCTTAACTAAATGAAAGTTGGCAAAGTTTCACTAAACCCACTCGAAAAGTTAATCTTAGGGCTTTAGATTTACTTAGACAGTGTTGATGAGTAAGTGAAAATGTGCAGAGTACAATCGGAAGATAAACTAAACTCGGAGCTGTGAAAATAAATATTTCAAAAAAGTAAAGCTCTTTCCATTTAATTTCTTCGGCATTGAATTTGTAATTTCAATTTCCCTCAGTGTGAAAATAATTCAGTGGAGCGATCAATTCGTTAAAGAGAATTAAATTCTCGAGAATTCAAAGAAGTGGTTATTCATACGGAATAACCTGTTCGTCACAACTCACCATGTAGTATTACGTTTCCGCCGAAAAACAATGCCGTAGCTTTATCTACGGAGCTTGTGGTGGAAATAGAAATCAATTCCATTCAAAAAAAGAATGTGAAGAACAGTGCTTATAAACTAAATAAGTAAAATTAAAATGTAAATTCAATTTTGATATTGATAATGAATATTAAACGAACTCAAATAGAGGAGTCGGTTCTTAGCTTTTTGATATTTTGTAGAGTATTTTATGGCCTACATTTCCATTTCCCCCAGTGTGAAAATAGTTCAGTGGTGTGATCATTTCCTTCAGGATTATTAAATTCTCGAGAATCCAAAGGAATTGTCGCCTGGCTGACTTTCAGTGCGTGGGTGAGTGAGTGTCGGCCGGGTTATTAGAGGTATTACGTGCCTCCTGGGGAAAGTTCTCGTCATCGGCATCATTGTGCGTCTCGGTTTCAGTTTCGGTCCGGGGGCATTTAGTGACACGCATCCTTGGGGTGCTATTTGCGGAGCCATTGGCGCCGAAACCGCAAGGATAAGGTCTGCCGCCCGCCTCCCCCAATTACACCTGTTCGCAAAACGGTAAATATATTTAGCAGACAACTTGTTTGCCCAATGGAATTGCTGCCATTTAGCAGCTTTTCATTGCTTCAGTTAGTTTTTACGGCACGCAATTAAAAGCTGCAGTATTCTTTGCAGGCTTTGTTCGCCCTGTGATGGCATTGAAACAGCGACGCAGCCAACAAAAGGTGTAAATTAACATAATGGCAGGGGCGGCGGCAGTCGAAGGGGGGTGAGTTTGATGGCAAGAAAACAAATGCCAGAGCAAAAGTGCATAGCGTTGGCGAGCACAACAAAAATATTTATGGCAATGCAAATGGCGTCTGCATAAAATTTATTGACACTTTACTGCGCATTGTCTTTGTGGTGCGAAATGTGGGCGGTGGGTGAATTCTAGAGGGAGGATGGTGTAGTGGGAGGGGGTGATAGGGGGACACCTTCCGTTTGCAGCGTTCTGCGCTGCGGTTGACATTGTTACGCCCACGGCCACGCCCTTAGTTTTTATGGCCGGTAAGCGTGGATTACAAGGGTGTATATATTGTGCTCGATTAAAGAGATCTAACACAAGGAACGACTCTATAAAAGCTATAAGTAAAACCCATGGTTATTTGTTGAGTAATATAATATTACAAAATGGAATAATATTACATAAACCAGTTTGAGATGCAGAAACCTTACGAATTTAAGGACCCAAACTATCGATAAAAACTGTTACAATTAATATTAATACGTTTAAACAAGTTACAACGCCTCAAGGTATGCAACAAATCTGCAACCAGGGTATCCCATTGTCCAGGACCTCCTTTCTCTAGGATTCTAGTCAGCCTTGTTGCACGCAGCGTGTGTTTGTGTTTTGTGTGTGGGGGCGTGAGTTGCGTGTGTGTTTGTGCGCCACACAAATCCGCTCTCATTTTAATGAGCAAACTTTTTACTCGTGCGCCATTTATTTGCTGTTTAGTAAACTGCATTTCAGATAGAATGTCGCTTCTGTGTGTGCGCAGGGATTTTCGAAAATTAATTTAAAATACCCGTACTTAGAAGCCGGAGAGCCGGCAAGCGGGGGATAATCGCCCCAGATCGCTTGCCTAAAGGGATTTTATTTGGTTGCGTGAATAATTAAGTGGAAATTATGTAAACGGCTTAGTTGGGGCTTTGGCCAACACAATGTTGACATGAAATTTTCGGTGCTAACATCATAAAATCAATAGCCATACCGTTTAGCCAGTTAAATTCGAGGCCGGCATTTAACGCAATAGTTTTCCGAATTTGATTTCCACCAAAACCCAAACCCATACCGTCAGATTCGCCAACTTTAGACCGCAGCTGCAGCTGGGCCGCCCACAAAAGCCAACACAAAGCATGGCCCAAACCGACCTTCTACCCGAACATCAAACACATCTCGGCCAACTCATTTATTATTATGCTCCAAAGCGAATTTAATTACAAACGAAAGGCCGCAAGGCATCGGTTAATGTTTAACCGAAGCGACAGCCATTTATGCGTAATTCAAAGCTGGCAGTTATGAGAAACAGGGAACTATCTTTATTAGGTGTTTAAGAAGGCTGTTTTGCCATTTCTTGAAAAGGTGTTATGGAATTATTTCTTGTGTTTTAGCAGAAATACCATAGACTACCAAATATTTTAAAAAGGTTTTTCTTCTTTTCTAGTAAAAGTAAAAGTTCCCAAAGTTTGATATTCAAATTTTAGTTTTATGTAATTGCAAAGATTTCACCTTTAAACTTTTGTTCCCCTTGTTTGTAAAGGAATTCTACACATTGTAAGTTTATAAAGTTAAAGCCAGAGCACTCTAGATTTTATTTATATAGATACCGTTGTGCTGGGATCCTAATTAAATAATAGTAAGTTAATTAAAAATGTAGCAGCAAAGTCTTTTTTATGGTGTAGTCCGGTATAAGGCTTAAGGGGCTTTGAAATTTAATGGAAGTGGCTGCTGCTCGAATCACCTTGAACAATGCAGCCGGCTGTGTGCGTGTATGTGTGCTTTGGAAAGCTCTAAATAATTTCCGCTGGCTTTGGCACACACGAACAGGCACTCTTACTTTACGTTGCGTATACGC